GGATGTGATTGCTAAATTTAGTCTTTGAATCATGCTGAGTACCATAATTCAAGTACCCAAACTTCTCGAGATAACGTTTGAGCTCACCAAGGCCTTCCATTGTCTTGCCCTTATGGCTTCCCTCCAAGTGCTGGAGGAACTCGAAGGCCTTCCCGTGAGGAATTGTCACAAGGAGGAGGAAAGCTCCTAAAACAAGAAAGAGATTAGGGGGCATTGTAAAGTGTTTGTTGTAGGAGCCTTGGGTGTGTGTTGGACTCTGTAATACCCCGATAATTTTAAAAGATTTATTAATTAGGATTAATTATTTTATTTTATTTTTCAATGATTTATTTTATTTTATTGAGTGCTAGATTAATTATCTTATTTTAATTAAGTTATATTTCGTGATTATGTATGATGATTGATTGTTTGTGTGGTTGATTATTGATTGAATTATTGGTGTGTTGATTTTATTGGTATTATATGACTTAGTTGTAAATTCTTTTTTTATTTATGTGCTTCATGTAATTAGTTATTTTAATTTCTGTATTTAATTAATTATCTTATTTATTTAAATTAATTGGATTGGGCTTAAGGAAAGTTGGACCAAAAGATGTGGTTTTGGGCTTGTATGAAACCTTATTGGGTTAATTAATGAAGGTCCGTGGTTATTTAATTATTTAAATGATCACTTTTGTATCAATTATATTTATATATATATATATATATATAATTATATATAAATATAATTAATTAATAATTGTTATGGAAAGATATATATATAGATATATATTTATTGATATTTATAAGTATATATGATTTAATTAACTAATGAGTTAATTATGGAAGGAATATATATTTATATATATATATGTTTATAGATATAAATTATTTAAAGATTATTATTTTAATTCATAATACTAGTTGGAATAGGATTTGGAATTTAAGGTGTATAAAAATACACATAAGGCTTTAGGGTTAAAGGTTTTACACGTTAGAAAAATAAAACAGTCAGAGAGAGAGGAAGAAGAAGGGCTGACAAGGAGGAGGTCGGATCTGAAAAAGAGGACGTCGGAATTGGAAGAGATAATTAAAGCTTAAAGCGTCGGTTTCGTTTCGAAACCTTCAGGCGAGTTTTCTCTAATTTTCCTCTTATAACTCATAAGGGTTTCACCTTGAGTATCAAAATTAGGATTAAATTTATTGGTTTAGAAATCATGGTTAGATCGGATTAATTAAAATATGAATTATTATATTTTGTTTTCTTTTAACTTTGGATTTTAAATTGTTGATGTATGTGTGATATTTATGTTTAAATTCAACTGTTTTATTTGATCTATGATCAGGAGGGTTATTTAGGGTTTATAGATTTTCTGGGAATTTTCTATATTTTTCTGGAATTTTCTGGTAATTATATATATATTTTTTTGGAATTATATTTGATTTATGGATAATATTTGTTTGGAAAATACAAAAATATATATACTGTGTATATACTGGCGGCTGGGTTAAACAGGGCATCAAAAAGGGGGTTATAGTTTGGTGTGGTGCAGCACACAATAACTTTGTGTGCGTGTGAATCAGAGCCTTTGAGATTTAAAAATAATACATAGATTAATTCAGTGTGGTACGGCGCATGGAACTATGGTGTGCAACAAGTTAAAGGCCATTGAATGCAATTTGATCAATGGAATAGATCTGGTGTGTTGCGGGTAACATTAATATGGTGCGCGCAAGACTTGGAGGGCTGAGATGCGCTGATGGGGAGCGGCTGATCCGGTGTGGTGCGCTCATGCGGTAGCGAGGAGAGTGGCCAATCAGAGTACGCCACATCAGCCAAAAGAAGGAACAGGCGCGTGGCAGCGCGTGTAATGCGCGTGGGGGCACGTGATGGAACCTGCCAGCTAAGGTGGCGCGTGGAAGCGCGTGAGAGGTGTTTAGGAGCGTGTGGTGGCGCGTGGGGGTGCGTGAAACACTGTTTAGGGTCCTGTTAAGGTCCTTTGAGGTCCAGTGAATTTCCAGAATTGGTTTTAAGGCCATTGGGATTGAAACAACCATTAGAGGAGGTATTCTTGGTTTCCTGAAAGCCATAGAATGTTACTACAATGATTGATAGCATTTATTTTGCGTAAATATAATAACTTATTATATTGTTATGGAATGTGGTGTATATATGTATATAATATAATTACATATGTATACGTGTATACATGGACTTTATTAAAGTATGATCAGTATATATATATATATATATATATATATATATATATATATATATCTAAGATTTAAATAATCAAGGATTATTAGGGAAAGATTATACACATATATATTATATAATATATGTGTATATATATGTATTTTAATTAAGATTGTGATATGCTTACAATTGGCATGAGATGACTATGTATGAATTAACTATCATTGAGTCTACAGTTGGTATATGGTTGAATTGTAGGCATGGATGAGTTGCCATAGGTGTAAATATATATTGCCTAAGTATATGTATGAATAAAATATAAATAGGAAGCATGGATGAATTGCTAATTAAATGTATGAATAAATATACCTGTGGAGGCATGGTTGAATTGCCAATGTATAAATATACATACACGGAGGCATGGTTGAATTGCCAATGTATAAATAAATATACTTATGGAGGCATGGTTGAATTGCCAATAGATAAATAAAAATATTTACAATGGCATGGTTGATTTGCCAAAGCATAATTACGTTGTTATGTGTTAGATGATTAAAATATCATCTATGGTTGTTGTATGTATGGATTGGATTAGGGTTAGATATTCTTAAATGAGAATAGTTTAGTACTTACTGGTTAGTGTATTATTTTACATTAATAAAATAATATTGGGGAAGACGTGGATAATTTGTCAAAACTTGGATTTTGGATATGTGATTTAAACAATTAAAATCATTATCGGGTTGGGATTAAATAGAGTATTGCTTTTATTATAATTTGTTGTTTAAATGATTAAACAACTAACTAGGATGGGATTAAGGTCAAAGGAGTTTTTATAAAATGAAATGGTAGATTGGTCTAGGTATGAATATTATTTTAATAATTATTTAATAGGTATGGAAATTTAATAAACCTATTAATGGATGTGATTAGTATAGTATATATAATTATATATAGACATGTATATCGTGCTTTATTAAAGTTAAAACTTTATTAGGTTTGGTTTTGATCAGAGATGATCTGCTTATTGGTTTTCAGAGGCCTGGTAGAGTGAACTTGCTCGTAGGGTTTAACCCACGATTTATTTTTCAGGTTATTAGAGGTTCCAGTCTCGAGGTTGAAGATTCGCAGCTGGGAGACTGTCATTCGTTTATTCATCTTGTGTACTTTTAAATAGTATTGGATTATTGGATAATGTTTTTAAGGGGTCCTTGAGTTATGGGATTTCCGAATTGTAATTGTTGGAGAATCATTAAGTAATATTTATTTATTAGTTTTCTTCAGCGGTTTATTTATTCTTTATTATTCATCTTTGTATTCTGTGCTTGTTAAATACTTAAATTGTTTTGATATCCCTTGATTTTGTGCGCGGACTTGATCAATCCGTGTTCCAAAATTAGGGGGTATCACAGACTCCCCCCAAGACCATATTAGCATTACATACCTGACCAAACACGCTAAGGTCATTGGCTAGCACTACCGTGACGATCTTTTTCCATTTAAAGGAAGGCCATATAATAGACCTGATCAAACAGGTTAGGTGTAACGAGTGGGCGCTTACCCATTTATACCTCTTTTACTTTTCATTTGAATCTGATATGGGACGGCTCATCCAGACGCTTGGCGTGGCACTCAATTAAGGATTGGGTCTAACTCCGATACCAATTGTAACAAGTGGGTGATTGTCCATTTATCCATAAGCTTAAGTTGTTTGGTAGTGTTACATACCCACCCATTTATATCCCTTTCACTTTCCATCCGAATTCAGTGTGGGACAAATATCAAAGTACCGTACTCGAGACCGCTCAACTGGTGAATCATCTACTAAGTGAGTTCCATCATCATATCCAACAATTAAGAAACTTGGAGGTTTCGTTCTCCCTAGTTATTGTAGAATTTTTTGTGTCCCACAAAGTGACAAGATACACGACCGTATTCGAGACCGCTCATATCCAACAATTAAGAAACTTGGAGGTTCCGTTCTCCCTAGATGTTGTAGAATTTTTTGTGTCCCACGAAGTGACAAGATACACCAGATATTTAAAAAAAAAAAAAAATTAAGAAGAAGAAGAAGATACACAAGAGATTCACACACTATGCCACACTTTAATCGAAAAATAATAATAATAATAATAATAATGATAAATCAAATGGAGAAAAAATATTTTTATTTTTATTTTTTTGGTGTTTGGTTGTTCTAAAATATTTATGAAGAAAAAAATATTAAAATTTAACAAAAGTAATCTATCTATAAATTTTCGTCAAGTTATTTTACATGCCCCGCCCGATAGACTCGACCTCAACTTCGACGTAAACCTTTGCCAATCACTCACAAAGTAAAAATAAAAAAATATTTTATCTGAAAAAAAAATATTATTTTTTAAAAAGAATATTTTACGTCGAAACAAACGGAGCCTTAATGATTAAAAACAAACCAGATCAACTGCATTATAATGCAGTTGATCTGATTAGAGAATTCATAGTCCATTTGGTATTTTTATCACTAATGGTGTAACATATTTAAAGAAATTGAATAGTCTGCTCTATTTGTTTAAATGTAAAATATGTTTTGAAATATGTATTTTTTTTATAATTTTCGTGTGATAGATGGCAATGTTGCAAAATATTATAACATCATTTGGAACAATAAATAATAATTTACTAATCAATCTAAAATCCATAAATAATTTTATCGTTCTTTAATTGTTGCTCTGCATTGCCATCCAACTCTTTTACTTTGTATCATTGCCTATCATCTTCTTTTCAGATCAATGTTAGAATTTTGACTCCGATTTACCGGAATTCGCTTCAAACCAAAGAATACTGTCATTGAAGCTCAGGAAGTGATTCCAGTTTTTGTTTTTCTTTTGTAAATAAAAATTGTATGTAGCTTTAATTATTTTATTTCACTTTCTTTTGGAAAGGCAGTCCACAATATTTGACCCCGTAATAATTTAGTACTTGAAACATGAAAAACAAATGATCACTCACTTCTCAAACATTATATAAAACTTTGATTCCCATAATATCATCCTCATGCAAACCTTTTGTGATGTCACTAGCAATGGATGCATACATGATAGCATTCTCAACCGAGCTATGATCAAGTCCAAGAAGGTGTCCAATTTCATGCAAAGCAACTGTCTCCAAGTCAAATGCACCCCAAGTTGCACCATCAGACCATGTCTCGTCTGCATCAAAGTGAAACCTTCCATCAGTTGGCGACCAAGCATGAGCTAGGATTCCGCGAGGGCCATCAAACGGGTGTCCATCTCCATGATCACCACTGTGAAAACTAATTGTTAAGTCGGCATTTGCATAGTCCTGAGTCTGTGCAAATGTGAAGTGTGTTGCAGAAGCCCATTTATCAAAAGCTCGTGTCACGCTGCCAATGGCGTCCGTGCGAGTGTTTGGCGCGAACCCATAGGCAAGGTGTGTCTTCGATGCCGGCCATTTAGGGTGACCCGGAAAGAAAGCAAAATGAGAGACTGTATGGAAAGTGTGGAGACCACGGCCATGATGATGCCCCTTCTTGCCTGCAGCTTGCATCCAATTCGTGCCGTTGATGATGTCTGGAACCCCACACCGGGGCATCATCATCTTGGATACCGTTGGAGCATCCAATGTTCCGGTGGCTTTCAGATGATAATTGAGCTGGTAAGTTTTGATGGCGGACTCTAAGAGATCATCAAAGTCATCGTTGTTGAAATGAGTTTGGTTTTTAGAATGGAGATTGCTCAGATAACCAAAATTTTCAAGGTATTTTTTGAGCTTATGGAGGTCCTTAACATTGTCACCCTTGTGACACCCTTGCAAATGCTTAAGGAATTCAAATGGTGATGGTTTATTGGCCTTTGAGTGGGAAGAATGTGCATGAGATAAGAGAGGAATTAGAAGTACGAAAAAAAGGAAAATGCATGAGAAGGGCTGAAATAATTTTGGTGCCATGACTAAGAAGGAAGAGTCTTTTGGATTATGAATGAAGTTGGTCATTTGTTTAAGTCTATTTTATAGACTTCTTTGACGTGGGAAAAATATTGGTTTAGGTCAATTTTATAGACTTCTTTGACGCGGGAAAAATATTTGTTTAGGTATAGACTTCTTTGATGCCGGAAAAATATTGGTGTTAAGTAGTTACTATGGTCTTCTTCTTTTTTTCTTTTCTTTTTTTTAAAAAAAGGGCTAATTTCAAAAACTCCAACTACTTTTAAAATTTAATCAGAAACCTTCAACCTGTTTAAGAAAACCTTTCACTTTAAAAATTGATCATATTGTCCCAATATTGCACTCTAAAATAATTACACTAATTCGGCCACATAGCTTGGGCCGATTGGTGAGGAAAATTATTTTATTATTTAAAAGGTTGATATCAGTCAAGATTTATTACTCTCAGACTCCTCCTATTCAAAGATAAGAGAGGGTTGAGGGCGTGTTTACTTTTAACTTCCAACTCTCCAAAAATAAAAAATAGTATGTATTTTACATGTATATATTTTTATATATTTGAAATTGAAAGGAAGATTCCCATGTGGTTTCATATTTTGTTGAATGGAATGCCGTGCCATAAAAGGCGAGGTCAATGGCGTGTTTTGTGGGGGAGAGAACATTCAGAATTGTACAATTAGTGAAATTTCTAGTGCCTTAGAAATTTCTTATTCCGTTGAGAGGAATACCACCATATCAGTTTTCGTGTTTACACAGCTAACCAAACACGCTAGGGTCATTGCCGCGTCCGATGGAGGGATAACATACCCCCAAAGTCCATTTCTAAAAAGAAAAAGAGGTACACTTCATTGCAATTGAAGATCCCCTTGTCTCAGTTCATTTTCAGTGTTAATTCTATTATTTTGTAATAATAACAAGAATTACAATAATTGTGTGAGTAGTCTCTAGATGCATTTCCCTTAAGGAGTTGAGATTCATCTCATCTTTTTCCATTTACATTAATTACCGGAGTCCCACAAAAAAAAAAAAAAAAAAAAAAAAAAATTGAAAAAGAAAAATTGATTACTTGCATATATTAATTGAATTATTGGTCCTCTGGCCAAAAAATCAAAACCCGTGAATCTTTCTTTCACACACACACACTCACACACACACACACACATATATATTTAGTAGAGTAAGGCTACCATAAGGTTGATCTTACACTAACTTTTGTGAGCTATTCTTTACATAGGAAGAAAAATTAGTACACAAGTTATATCACTGTGTTACTATGGACAATCAGCTAAACACTATGATCTCTCATCTTTACAGGAGATCGAGTATTCGATTATGATAGTGACAATACTGTGGAGATATGTGTAATTAAATTTTTTGCAAAAAAAAAAAAAAAAAAAAATGTTATATCACTATGTTGCTCATGGTCTGTTTATAAAAGAAACTACCTTAAAATACTTTTAAATAAGATGAGTAAGGATAGTACTCAAGAAGGGCGGAGGCAATTTTTGACACTTGTAAGAAATCAAATAAATCTCTTGATTCAATGGTCAAGAAGGGTTCATAATGTTAGAGTTGCACCGCACAATCAACCGAATTTGATTCCAGTTGTTGTGGCGGAAACGTAAAAGAACAACGCACGTTGTTCGAGGAATAATTAATCAATCACAAAGAATAAAAAAAATCATACACAAAAATACAAGATATACATGGTTCATCCAAATCTTGGGGTTACATCCATAGAGCAACAAATTCATTATGAAAAAGATGAAAAATTACAAGGAAAATTCTCTCTCAATCTTTCTCAATTGTTCTCTCTTGTATTGGCACACTTTATCTCTAACTTTCACCCCATTTATAGAGTCCCAAACTTGTCCTACAAGAACTTGCCTTTTGTAAAATCCAAAACCAATAAGAAAATTAAATCAAATCAGGAAATTAAATTTTCCTTAAACCAATATGAAAGTCAAATCAGATTAGGAAACTGAATTTTCTCTAACAGATTAGGAAACTAAATTTTCCCTAAAATTCAGTATTCTTGAAATTTCCATATAATTAAATCTTCCTAGAAATATTCCACCTAATTAGACTCCACAAAACTACAACACATAACTCTTATCTTAAGTACTTCTCTTTATAGCTTCCCTTACATAAAAATTATATGAACTGGAATTGTTTTGTCAAATTAAATGAAGAAAAAGAGAACGTAGAAAGTTTGATTCATTTTTGTGATACTGTGAACGAATTTTGATGACTGTATAAGTTTTATAATTAGACGTGCTTCTCAATTTTGTACATAATTTTAAAAATAAAATAAAAAGTTCAAGGTAAAGAAAGTAGATGAAATACAATCTCTAACCCAAGAGATGAATATGGTAGGAAACCCAAGTGAATAAGAGAGTCTAATGGAAAAGGCCGAGGCACAAAGTCAAAATCTTTTCTCAAATCTATTGTCATTCAACATCTAAGTGAGGTCAATTTTATATATTGTTGAAAATGATTCAAAAATTTAAGTTGAACATTGAAAATTAAATGAAACTATTCATGTTGGTTCAAACAAGGCACGTATTCCCTCGATAATAGGGGCAATAATGTGGAGGTCTGTGCATGCTTAAATTTTTGAAAGGATAAAAAATAAAATTAAATCACTATGTTGTTCATGGTCCGTTTGTTAAAAACTAATTCAAAATATTTCTAAATAAAGTGTGTAAGGCTAGTATTAGAATTAATTAATTATTATATGGAAACAATTTTTGACATTCCTAAGAAATCAAATAAATATCTGGATTCAATGTCAGGAAGGGCTCATAGCCCTTAATATATGTCAAGTACTTCTCTTTATATCTTCGCTCACATAAAAATATATGAACTAGAATTGTTTTGTCAAATTAAATGGCGAAAAAAAAGAATGTAAAAGTTTGACTCATTTGTGTGATACAGTAATTTTAAAAGTAAAAAGTAAAAAATTCAACTTCAATGACGTTTATCTCCTTGATGAAATATATTCTCTAACCCAAGAGATGAATCTAGTAAGAAACCCAAGCAAATAAAGAAAATCCAATAGAAAGGCTGGATACAGTGTCAAGCTTTTCTTAAGCCAATTTTTGTTGAACATGTGAGAAAGTCAATTTTATACACTTTGAGAAATGATTCGAAAATTTAGGTTGAACATTGAAAATAGAAAGAAATTTTTCGTGTTGATCCATACAAGGCACGTATTCCTTGTCTATCATCAGCACTCAGATCCCTCTTGATATTCATGCAGGAAGTGATGCACATATACATATTGGCCAAGCCCAAGACCATGCCCTATCTCATGAACTGCAATTGATTCCAAGTCTATTTGGCTTAGGTTTGGATTACTACTCCAATCCTCATCAGCATCATAGTGGACCCATCGTCTTGTTGGTGGAAAAGAATGAGCCAATACACCCCCAAGAACATCAAATGGGTTCCCATCCTTATGATTACCGCGATGGAAACCAATAACAATGTCTTCGGTTGCACCTTGGGGAGCTTCCACAAATGTGAATGGGTTAGGGGCTCACATTTTTCCATTTTTGAAAAGCTCGCGAGCACACCGATCTCAGTTCTTGCAATCCCACACCTTGGGCACTGGATTGGAAGCTGTAAGTGAAATGGGTTTTCGATAGAGGCCACCTTGGCTTTCCTGGGAAGAATGAGTACTTTGCAACCATGTTGTCTGTTTTATTTGTGTGCTTGACATTGACAACATCAGGCACGCCACATCTTTGGAACATCATTTGTTGAAAGGCAATGAGATCAATTTTTAAAGTGTAAGGGCTTTTTCTTGAAATAAGTTGGGAGTTTATGATCAGAACTTATAGAGTCAGTCCTTCCACACGCTAATGTGACTTTTACTTGGTTATGCGACTTTCTTCAATTAAACTATATAAAGTTTTTATGTGTTATTTCAATTGTGAACATAGGGCACGCATTCTCAATCGAGTAGTGCCCTAGTCCTAGAAGATGTCCAATTTCATGCAAAAATGTCTCCAAGTCAATTGCACCCAAAATTGCACCATCAGACCACGTCTCGTACGCATCAAAGTGAAACCTTCCATCAGTTGGCACCCAAGCATGAGATAGGGCTCCATCAGGCCCGTCAAACGGGCTTCCATCTCCATGGTCACCTTTTGAAAACTAATTGTCATGTCGGCATTTGCATAGTCAGTCTGTGCAAATGTGTGATACCCCCAAATTTTCACGTGTAGGTTGGTCAGGCTTACATCCGAAAATTCAGGCCGAGGATATAAAAAACAATCGATAAATTAACAAGCACAGAAGACAAGATGGAATAAAATAAATAATTAAATAACGCTGGAAAGAAAACTAAATAATAAATCATCTGATACTAATACTCCAAATAATTCAAATTCATAAATCTATAAAGTACAACTCGGGAATCCGTATATTAATGATCCCTAATAAAAATCTTATAACTAAAATGTTGGTAAATATATATGCTTTATGTGACATTTAAGATATAACAACCCTTATATTAATATGTTATGAGATAATTAATAATATGCTAAGAAATGATTAATTAAATATGCAACTATATATTTAATTAAATATGCAAAATAAAGAAATAAATTAATAAATAATAAATAAAGAACCTGGATCAAGGCTAATATTGAATACTATGTCCTTAAGAGAATTTACGCCCCGCTTGTTGCTAACGGACTCTATGGCGTTTGTCTCCCAGGATACAACGGTTTACATCCACAGTAACAGCACTTTAAACTTGTGAATATGGCAAACCTCCACCGTGTAATACTCTTTCTAACTCAAAAATGCATCTAAACTATATAAATGTTGAATTGAGTACAATCCGAACCAAATGGTTCGGACCAATTATAATATGGCTCGACGAAATTGGATTAGGGTCTAAGTGGCTCGGACCACTTGACCTATGGTTTGAACCTACTTAGGTTGGGTTCAAGTCTAGAGAGGGAGAAAGAAGAAAATGAATTGAACAAATTGCAAATGGTAGCCCAAGGGGATATTTATAGAAATAGAAGTGCCTTTTCAAATTTGGTGTGTCTCTTTATCATTAGACACAACCATTCATATGCGTCTCTTCATCATTGGACACAACCATTAATATGTGTCTCTTCACACAGAACACAACTATTTATATGTGTCTATTCATCACTGGACACAACCATTTATATGTGTCTCTTCATCACTGGACACACCCATTGCAATAGATTGCAATGGTTCACATTGAATAGGTTATGTCTGTTGGTTTTGAGTTGTATTTTTTCATCTTATAACCAACCACTGATCACACCTGTTCAGTCAAAGGCATCTATTGAATTTTCATTCAAAAATTCTAACAATCCCACACATGAATGGAAAATAGCTGCTTAAATGCAAAAGATGATCATGCAGACACTAGAGAGAGTATAGTCGGAAAGTTACTGCATCGGGATAGGTAGCTTTGGGCCTTAAACCTTCCCTAGTGTATTGCTATCGGATTTACTGGCTAACAAGTGAACGTGATGTCTTGAACTGTTCAACCGTTTGTATAAACCAAGACAATAACAAACACACAGTACCCTTCCTCACAGAGTTGATTCTCATTGTTGTGTTTATTTTGGCCCTGAACAACTCCTGGTATTCATGAGTGCTTTAGAAAACTTAGCCTTTATAGTTCTCATAGAAGCAGTCCCACTTCAAACTCATATAGGTGACTTCTTATTAAAAGTTTCCTACCATACCCCACTTAAATTTTCAAGGTATAAGAGTCATTAAAAGTGTAGCTTATCTTAATCCTCGCAGTAAGTAACACTGTCTCATCATAGAAATAGGCAAAAGATTTATATCTTCCCAGTGCTTGTGGTGAGTCACTCAGAATTTCTGTTGTTCCTTTGAACCTAGATCTTGGGATCTCCAGTCAGCTAGGTTGGGTTTCCATTAAGGTGACTCATTAGCTTTCGGCTTTAACCCCATTTCCCTCAATGATCTGTACAATTGCTCTCTAGTACAACCCTTAATTTTATATGTGGCCACAAACTTGTGCTTAGAAATATTACACTCTGCAGAAATTTCTCCAGTTGAGAGCAACTGTATACTTTGTACCCTAAAATTGCTTATTATTAGCAATATCATTTTCTTTAATGGCATATGTAGACTTATTTTGAAATGTCCTCTAACTAAGTCTATTGACTTTTCTCTTTGATTTATTCAAAGTTTCTAATTTTGATTCTTTAAAAGAACATACAACTACACCTTTAATATTAAAGACATATCCACTCTTGAATTTGAAGTCTTTAATATCCCACATCCAGATTGCATCACTGTTACACCTCCAATTTATTTAGATACCTCGATTTATGCAATAGTGGACTTAGGGTGTATCTCAACTACCCAATTTTTTTTTTTTTTTCTTTTCAGTGATCGTATCCTGGATTGAAAGTGTCCAATTAATCACAGTTATTAAGATGCAAACTCAACCAGTGATATACTTTGACTAATATTTATATTTGAGATTTACATCTACAAAAGGTAGCTAGGCATTTGTTATCATAAATAGTATTATCTCAATCTCACTCTATTGAGAATATAATATGTTATCAGATGTTAAATCTTTTATATAAAATATACTAATTAGTATATCATTAATTTTTTAAGGCATACAATAACTTGTGCATCACATTTTTGTCATTGTCTCGATAGTAGCTTTAATCCACTCAAGAACTTATAAGCTTGCACACTTAACTTTTCAACTAGAACAAATAACCCAACTCTTCATTTGGAAAAAGAACTCTTTTAGTTGTTCCATAATATTTTCCTCATAGGAAATAACATGCACTATTATTATAATACTATAAATGATTTTTAGTTCTATCCTAAAATTCTTTGGATTCAGAACCCCCCACATTTATAAGTATTTCTCTTAAAATAAGGTGACTCGTAGCAATTTCGTCTATAGATAATGTCTCCCCACAACTTTGGGATAATCCTGAAATTTTATCTCTAATGCATTTATTATGATTTTTCAACTCTAAAAATATTGTATATTAAATACTTCAGCTCATCTACCTTTCAATATTCGCTTCTCAACAAGCATGTGTAACAGTCTCTAGTGTATATGTACTCACTTTATCACTAGATTATTCTTATAATAATTCACCGACATTATTGTGAATTAATGCTAGAGATATTAATTAAATTGGTCTTTAATTAATATTTGCTTCCACATTTCTCATATTTATGACTTGAGTTATTTATGTTTAGATTCATGTTAAGTTAGTTATCTTAACATGTCATAACCTTTCATGTGTCACACATCACATAACTCAATCGTTTAAGCAAATAACTCACTTATTATTTAAGCTTTGGATACATCACCACATAGTAAGCACTCACTTCTCAACTATCATTACTAGCTTATATTAAGCACACCTTTCTTATATCTCACTACTAGGTTATGATGAGCACGCACTTCGCTGGTATTATCACAAGCTTGAAGTTAAGTTTGCTTAGTTATCAATTGTAGTGGCTCTTAACTTTGGTACACCCTTATCTAAGTAGTCTACATTGGTAGTAGAGTAATTTGTTTTGAAGAATATTCTTTCAAACTACTACTTTTCAAGTAGTATTATTCCCTTATACATGAGCAGATATGATGTATAGTTAAAAAATAACTACTCATCACCCTCGTGTTTTTTACTACCAAGTTGAGAGCTAGAACCAACTAACAGATTTTCATCTTCCTCTTAGGTTATGTGCACCTTATTAATCATTTTAACTTATAATTAAGTTAACTAGTTTACAGCTCAGTAACATTATAGCTTTTAGCTAAATTGTACGTTATAACTAACTAACTTGATTTAGTTTGTTTCAGTATACTAGCTTTGTGTATCCATAACATTTTCTATTAAACTCTGTAAAATTATCAAAAAATCTTCTTTTATTCAGTCCATTCATATCTATACGTGTCTTAAACACTAGTATAGATCTTTTTTCCTTGACTATTGGGAAAAATGACATAGCTAGACTAGTCAATTTTTGTGTATTGTATTAAATCAATATCACACATTAAATAAACTATATTGTAAAATTGAATTACTATGCATACTAAGTAATTCAACTACATAACTCAATATTATAATCTCAAATAAAAGTAAGCACTTATATAAATAATATTGAACTCACATAAATAATATAGTTTATATTATATGATTAATTATAGCACATAATTAATCTAAGAAATAATAATATTCAGGAGAAGACTTTGCTTTCTTAAATCTTTGTGGTTCATTCTCCAATTGGTAAATATATGCTTCAAATGATATTTAAGATACAACTAACATTATACTAATATGACATGAGATATTTAATAATATGCTAAAAATAATTAATTAAATATGTAACTCGATATTTAATTAAACATTTAAATTAAAGCAATAAAATAATAATTACTAAATAAAAAACCTGGACCGAGGCTAGTATTTGATACTATGTCCTTAAGACAATTTACGCCTCGCATAGTACTAACGGATTCAACGACGTTTGTCTCCCAAGATATAACGGTCTACATCCACCAGTAACAGCACTTCAAACACGTGGATATGACGAACCACCTCTGTGTAATACTCTGTCTGACTCAAAAATGAATTTATAGCATATAAATGCTGAATTAGATGCAATCCGAACCAAATGGTTC